CCTGTTGACACTTCAAAGTGCGACTGTCTGAGTGAGTATCTGTGTGGCGGCTCTTTGATGTACTCCGCCATCGCCTCACCCAACCCATCACCCAACTTGACACATTATTCCCAATCTTGCAATTATTCTTACCTCAGCCTTTGACGACAGCAATTAAAAGTCTCTGACACACACACATACACACTCACACAAGCACGCCTTAAAGGACTAATTTCTCATACACATGTGTATATGAGTATGCTGATGTCTGCATAAATATTTAATGTGTTTGCCTTGTTAGTGGCGATATCACTTTATTCTGCGGAAGGATTAAATTAATGCCAAACGTGTGCGGCACACAACACCCCCCATACCCACTCTTAACCCCAGAAAGCCCACCAAAACACAACTCGCTTGTTGTTTTAGGTATCGCAAAATACACAGGATGTATGGCAGATTGTTTAAAACGGGATGGGGTTCGAGTTTTAGTGGCTGGCATCGGCAAACAGACTAGTGGAAACCGCTACTTACACTAGTTAGCTAATCAAATTAGTTTTATTAACACGTACGACAACAAGTGCGTATGCAAACTTACACCAACACAGATGTGCGAGATGTACGTGTTAATTGCGTGTAAAACCGTTTAATGCGTGAGCAGCTTTAGAATACCGAAAGCGTTGCCTACTTTTCAGCGAAATTATATAGGATTGAGATATGGGATCTGTTGAGCTACCTTATTTTATAATAGATTTAAGGATGCCACCGATTTCTTTTCAAGGATATATAATATATGTTTTGAGTATTGTTTAAGTAAAAATAATATTGTTAATCTATAATAAAGACAACTTGGAAATTGTATAACCAAAAAGCATAAAACATAAAAATGGGATTAACAAAACCAAGTGATAACTTAGGCTTAAGTAAAATAAAATAATCAGGACATGCTGGAAATAAATCTCTGTTGCTATTCCGCCATGTAAGAAGCATTCAAATGATGCTTCAGTTATGCTGAGCATATCAATGTGGCTGTTCTTATTAAGAACTGGTAAATAGTTTTCCCTTTATTCCCCCTTTTCAAAAGTCAAGGAGTGTGTGGCACACAAATGGCCAGTTAATTAGGCCGCTGACATCAGCAGCAGAAACCCGATGACAACCCTGAATTGCTAAGCAGAGCCAAAATGCTTCTTCAATTACACGACTGACCACCATAATTAATGTTAATAAATAATAAATTTACATATAACAAGAAAGGAAAGCTAACTTCGTGCGGAGCCGAAGTTGAAATACCCTTGCAGAATATTCTGTAAATTATATTCTCCAAACATATTCATATGATGCATTCTTAACACTCATAAAAATCCCAACTTCCTAACTTTAAAAACACCAAAGTTATGGCATTTCCACTCGTTCAGTTATATGGCAGCTATAGAATATAGTCGGCCGATCCTTATGAAATTTGGTATGTCGGATTGATTGGTCAAAAATTAAATCCATAGAAAATCCAAACTTCCTAACCTTACAACCACCAAAGTTATGGTATTTCCGATCGTTCAGTTATATGGCAGCTATAGGATATAGTCGGCCGATTCTTATGAAATTTGGTAAGTCGGATTGATTGGCCAAATATAAAACCCATAGAAAATCTCAACTTCCTAACTTTACAAATACCAAACTTATGGCATTTCCGATCGTTCAGTTATATGGCAGCTATAGGATATAGTCGGCCGATCCCGGCCGTTCCGACTTATATACTGCGTGCAAAGGAAAGAAGGATGTGTGCAAAGTTTCAATTCGATATCTTTAAAACTGAGAGACTAGTTCGCGTAGAAACAGACAGACGGACAGACAGACGGACAGACAGACGGACAGACAGACGGACAGACAGACGGACAGACAGACGGACAGACGGACAGACGGACATGCTTATATCAACTCAGGAGGTGATCCTGATCAAGAATATATATACTTTATAGTGTCGGAGATGTCTCCTTCAATGCGTTGCACACTTTTGACCAAAATTATAATACCCTCTGCAAGGGTATAAAAACGTCCCCAAAAGCATGTGAGACGTAAACTGAGACATGCAGAGAAGTGAAAGTCCGTAGCGGCATACAAATCTCCGTAATTAAAGGACCCAGCGATGCCAGGACTATGATAACATGGAAAAAGCGAAAGGAAAACGGAAGCGTTTAATTAACTTGTTTTGTTCCGTCTGCCTCTCGACTCGATTCATATAGTATGCCAAGCATATCGGGCAATTAGTGTGGGCCACAAAAATCGAAAGGGAAATTGAAAGTGTGCGTATCATAAATTGCTGACCCACCACCGACCGAAATCAGATTGAGCCGGACCCCAAATTGCATTATCCAAGGCCTACAAGCCACAGGAAACTTTGGCTCGTAAAAAAAGTTTAAGCTCGAACATAAACCGCATCTCCAAAATGTACAAGTGCAACTGAGACGTGCATTTATCGAATTGTTTCAAATCCTTTTGACAACTATTTTTGAGAGCAAACTTTTTCAATTATACTTGGTGATTTTCTTCACCCAACAAAGGGTTAAATTCGGGCACCCAAGCATTCATTTCAATCAATTTTCGAGCTTTCTTCAACCGTGAAGATAAGAAAGCCAGTCAGCAAATTAATTAGCATTCATTGCCTGCCCAATTGAGCTTGTAAATATTTCATTAATCGTTGGAAAAGTCTGCAAATGCGAGGCATTAATAAGAGTTCACTTGATGGATGGCTTGACCTTTTCGACAAAGTGAGATTCGCCGAGGAAGGCTGTGTCGCCACTTAAAGTACTTACATTACCTACTCCCCAGTTGGCAAACTTTTAATTTGCTCACATTCTCATTTGCGAGAACAAAGTCACTACACAACAAAAGATGCCAATTTAATCTAGTCCCTGTTGGCCACATGGGACACTTGCTCGTAAAACCACTGGCCAGGACTTCACGTCCCAGGGAACAAAGGGAGTAAGAGTATCCTGTGCACAGGAAATGACCTCAGTGCCGGACCCTCTGCGAAGTATGTGTGTGTAAGATGTTGGCACCAGCAGGTAACTTCCGGCATAGTCAAATTGAAAATGGCTTTGCCAGACCACAATCCCCAATTTCCCCTTTCCCTGGGGATCCTGCCAGCTGCTCTACTTTGCTGTGGCCAGAGTGTAAAGTTGTCTGCACTCGCAAAGTGTGACAAATTAAATTAAAGCCAAAAGTCCACCCGAGGTAGTTGCAGTAATTGCTTAATGCCCTCTCTCAATTAAACTCCAGCAAGGAGTTTGCTTACGAGGGAGGGCAAACGGAAAAGGAGTAGGATATGGGGTCGTGGAGGTGGTCTTACTCCTTCGAACACGTGAGTTCTTGAACTGCGACCAGCACTTGACTTATGACATTAGAGCGCAGACACAAATCTTTATGAGCCGCGCTCTCCTGCCAGGACTTAAGTAAGAAAAACTACAGTTTCCACTTAGCCCCGGTCCACACACACTCACACACGCCTGCCAGGATACACTGCAAGTGGCAGTTGCGAGTGGACAGTGAGAAAAACCTCAGGCATTTTGCACTGAGAAAATCCGAAGAAAACTTAAAAGAAATTCATCAGAGAAATGTATATATAGAGACTTACTTTAAAGGGATATAATTTTACTGTGGTACCAAAAGTTTTATATTTGCAAGCATTCTTTAGGTACTAGCAAGTTGGCTTGCGATTTTGAAGCACTAGATTTTTATATTCCCTTAATTTTCCATCGATAAATAGTTACCAACATTTTGAAATCATAGTGCTTTAAATATTTTTATACTTTACGCTATAAGTTAATACGGTTTGCTTCAGACACAATACCCTTAAATCTGTGTTTTAATTAAATCCATTCAATAGCTAGACTTTAGTTCTTTAAGGAACCCTTTTTTTTGTAAATATCTCCCCTTTTTTTCTCGAGTGCACATTTAAGACCATTCAAGCAGCTAGACTGACGCATTGTTGTGGTCATAAGTCAGCGTGTGGACAAAAAACCTGTGCACTGAGTTGAAAATCTTAAAGATAAATAAAGACCGGAGGACTTTTCAGAGCCAAGCCTGAACTTTGACCCCAAAAACGGCAACCGCAAAAGGCAGCAAACAAACCAAAGAAGCGGAGAGAGAATTGGCGAGAAGATGATGAGCAGGACAGGGCGATTATGACGCTGCCGGCGCCCAGCGAAGCGCAACTGATGAAGCCCACTTAGAGGTGTCCCTGCTCCTTGTTCCTCCCCAGCTTCCCTTTGCCTTTCCCGCTCATTTTCCGTTTTGCTGCTCCTTCTCTTGGCTTGGACAGTGGTCAGCACTGCCTGGCAACATTTGCCGTTGACAGAGTGCAGGAACACGAAGATGGAAAGCGGAGTGGAAAAAAGCGAAAATATATTATAATTGAGGACACCGACAATGGGAATACCTGGTACTCAGGTCTTAGTTGCCCTTTACCGGTCATTCTTTTATCTGATTTTTAGAAAATCTTAAAAATATGATAGAAAATATAAATATTTTATAAGACTCATCTGATAACATTTTCTTTACTAACAAAGCTATGGGTCCAATTTCGATTTTTTAAATTTTCAGAACGAAAAGGGACACGAAAAGGACTAGGATTAATATTAAATAAAAATGTAATTAATAAAATTCTAGAAGTTCATATTTGTTTTCTTATATAAACACTGTTTACTACCCTGTGTTGATATTTAGATATTAAAATTCCATTATACCCTTACATACCTCGATTATCAAGTATAAAATGTCAGGAGAAGCAGCTGGATGAGTCAGTGGTCGTGGAGACGTGTGTTGGGCTACTTGGGGTCGTCTGGACAAACATTACCCATCGTCGGACACCACCGGACATGGCCAAATGAAAATGTGTAAGGCTGCCCCTTGGCGAAGTCGCCGTCGCCACCGCCGCACAATTATTACTTCAACTTTTCATTTGGGTCTCTCCACTCTGCGGGTTTTTCCCGGAGTCTCGAGGTGCTGCAGGATCGCAGGATTGCCGGATGGCAGGACACTCCTGGCCATGACTTGTAATTTCGCTTCCTACGTCTCATTTTTCATATTTCAACGCTTTGAGTGCCATTTGGCAAACTGCAAACTGGAAACGGCAACGGCGACTGGCCAACAAGGTAAACAGACAATTTCTCAAGCGACTAATGCCCTGACTTATTGTTGAACTTAGGGGGAAGGATTGGAATGAGTGAGTGTGGGACATGTTCTTGTGCCAACAGACAAACCTCAAAGTGGGTTCTGGAATGGGAGCTTCGAGCTAAAGATTTTGACCGCCATAAGCAGGGTCAGTTCTTTAAAGAATGGTTGTTGTCAAGCATCAGTCACCTTTTGGCAAGGTTTGATACTTAATATCTTTAGAACATATAAATTGGAGAAAAATTATTTGGATCATATTCCATTAAAATCTGAAAGAACAATTTTAATGAATTTATCATACATTTAATTCAAATTCATTAAAAGGTCACAAGAGTGAGCAATATTTGATCAGAAATTAGCAATCAAATTGTAAATGCAAATTAAGATTAAATTAAAATACAAAATAAGTGTTGTGCAATTCTGAGAACGAATTTCAATGGATCAAGTTTTGGGCCTAGAAAATTATGAAAGGATAAATTTATTTTTTATTATTTTTTTTTTTTAAGCTTAAGTTTTATACAAATTTGAAGAGAATTTTGATATAAAATAATAAACTTTTGCAGCATTATTTGCCTTTCTGAACTTATCTTAAGGACTTAGAGTCAAAGAACCCGACTGAAGAAAGACACCGAAACACTAAGGCTGCAAATCTTGGATCTATCGGATACATTGATGATAGCATGTGATATCTGTTTATGATGGTCGCGTCGATTTCAGGCCACAAAGAAAGAGGTCAATAACTGCCGAAGGAATGATGATTCGAGTTCAATGTCAAATCCCTGACCTCTGGCCGTGGATGACCAAAAATGGGTGGCAACAGATTGCGCATACGACCTGTTGAAACAATCAAAAGTCGCAGTTGCAAAAAGCCCCAACAAACCGAATAAAAACGCAGCATTATAAACAAAAACAGCCTACAAGGAGAAAGAAGCATGGAGGAGACCATAAAGAGCCTAGCAAAAGTACAGAATTTATGTGTATAAGTAAGCCACGAAGGTCATATTAAATTGCCATAAAGAGCTATCGATTTTATCTGCAACAATGGGAAAAAGGAAAATCGCTGCGCACAAGAAAATGCTACAGCATCCTAACGAGGACACTGACACCGCCGAGAAAATGGGGGAAATGTAGGGAGGGAAAAGCGGAGGGAAAGCAAAGAAAAGAAACAAGGGAAAAATAAAGCAGCGGGCAGTCGGAAAATCCATAAAGAGGCGCGTCTGCGAGGGGCCGAAAGAAAAGTTTTCCCTTGCTCCTTTTTTTGTGTGGCCGCAGCTACCTCCCACCCATCCCCACTCCTCATCCCTTTGGCCACTGGCTAATTAGAAAAGTTTTCCCCTTTCCATTTGGGCGAGTAGCTGAGCGCTCATAGGTGCGAGTAGCCGAGTCGCCATTTTTTAGCCCACGTGGCGTATGAGCGACGGAGACAGAGCGACACTGGTGTCACACCTACTTACCTACCACACGTAGCCAGGAGCTCAACCATTGGCTGGCATAAATCACAGTTACTCCCCGTCCCCTGTCCCCCGTCCCCATTTTCCGCTTTTCCCAGCATTTTCCCCCTGACGAAACGGAGCACCTAACGCACTCGGAGAGACACACCTTCAATTCTGGAGAGGAGCAGGGGCTGGGTTTTAGTTAGCTCTACTTTCCCGGCGCACCTGCTTCTCTCTCTCGGCTTTCTCTCTCTCTCTTTCTCTCGCTTTCTCATTTGTATTTACCTAAGACAGCAGTGGAAAAGTGGAAATAAAAAAAAAAGAAAAGCTGGCAAAAAACCGAGTACCTAACGAGCAAAAGCTGCGCACCTAAACCTGCGCTACACAAAAACTCCAGACGAGCTGAGAGCACCTCACAAACACTCACGCACACTGGGAAAAGCGGAGGAGGAAAAGCGGTGGAAAAGGGGCAGAGGAGAAGCGGCAGGGAAAAGGTGAAAGCCGAGCCACCAGATGAGAACAGACGACGTTGACGAGCACACGACGAGGGAAAATGACGATGACGTTGATGGGGAAAATAAAGCAGGATGGGGGAGGAATAGAGGGAAAGGGCAGGAAAAATATATGAAAATAAATACAAAATGGGGAATAAATGGTGGCCATCTAAAGCTAAAGAAAACATAAAAAGAAAATCAGGGCAAATAATGAAAAAACATAAAATCGTTCAAAAGGGTTAAACATTTTTCATTCGCAGAAATCAAGCAAAAGGGATATAGTTTTATAGTGACATAAATCACAAAGTAAGTTTTCCAGCTGGGATTTTCCTTTGGCCGTCGGAAAAACACATGGAGCCCCACCCCCTGTGAAAAACCCCTCGAAGGTGCTTAACTTTGGTTGGCTGCCAACATTTTCGTGCTCACCTTAAAAAGCGTAGGTAGCACGGCCATATATGCCAGTGAGAGCGAGCGAGTCGGCATGACAGGCAACAACCTGGCTGTGATTGTGTGTGTGTGTTGGCCAGAATATCTGTATGTTGTGTGTGTGTGGATGTATCTGTGAGAGCGAAGCCAACGAACGAAAAACGCACGACGAATAACAACTGTTACTTGCGGTTGAGGTTGCAGCTGGGTAACTCACAAGGGGGGGCTTGAAAAGCAGGGGTATGGGGTGGAAAATCAGTGGAGGGGGGCTCTACACAGGTAAGAGAGAGAGGTAACGGCGCAGCTGGCACCTACATCTAGGCATGCCGCACTCTTCTAGCCAAACGACGACGACGAGGCCAAAACGAAGACGATGGGCCAACACCTAAAGCAGGTACATATAGACACGTATATACATATATATGGGGAGCGGGGGGAGTGGGGGCTTCTGACGCAGGTAGATTGGTGGATGCGTAAGGTACATTATATATCTCAGCCAGACTTCAAGCACGTGTCGAGATATTCTCTGAGGTGTGAGCGAAGGACATGCGCAGTGCCGTAACTCTCTCCACAGAGCGGAAAGACTTTCGCTGTTAACTAACAGCAGGGGAAATTCAGGGGCAGCCACTAACATAGCCCCATATCGTGTGTAAAGTTCAAAAGAAAATTCATAAATAATGTTAATTTATTTTAGCCACTGCAGCTGTCTTCGCCTGACAGTTGGCCCAAGATATGGCCATAAAATACAACCCACAAACACACACACACACTCGGGGAGACATTGACCCACAAAGGAAATTAACATAATTGTTGATTCTTGCGTTTTATTGTCGAGTGCGTTTTGGATCTGGCCTTGTCCTCAGTCGAATCGATTTTGTGTAAAATGTAAGTGCCAAAACTGATGATAAAGCATTTGTCCAGGGATTGAAGAAAGTCCAGACCACTCGGTCGAAGTGCACTAAAGAACGTATTGTAAAAGTAAACTAAATAAGGACATTCTTTGTTTATGGTTCTTTTGAATTATATAAAAACAATAGTTTTGGATTTAAATATAGTTCTGCATTTATTGCTTTCGGTTACTCTCCAATCCTTTTTCTTATTTGCTCTACAACTATACTCTAACTCCTTAGTTTTGGTTTAACATTAGTTAAGGGTCAGTTTATTACTTTATTTGTTCAATAGGTAATTTGTATGTCAATAAACTTTTGTATTAAACTATTTTTTTTAAGTGTGTGATTTTATAAATGCCAAATAAAGTAAGAATAATATATTATACGAACTATTTTTATTAATTTTTGTATGGCTCACTAAAAATAAAAAACATACATTTACAATATAATACTTTAATTTTTAAAAACCTGTTTATGTATCTTTATGAATCTTTAAACTTCTTCTAATTGAATTTTAATATCCATTGATTGCACTTTTCGACCTTTCTTAACTCTGCAAACAACAAAGTTGTGCATACGCCACGTAGCCCCCACAATAAGCCAACCAAATTTGCATTGTTGTCCTTTTTGGGAGGAGACCAAATGAACAGTTTCGCTGTCGGGAAACTTTTCTCGCACTTTTCACACTTCTTTTTAGGGCCGGAGATGGAAAAAGGAGCAACAGGATACAGAGCGGACTTTCCTTGTTGCTCTTTTGGCTGCTACAAATAACCGGCATCAACTTTAATCACCTGCTTAATTAAATCAGTTTCGCCCGTCGCAGGTCGCCAGCTCCTTTTTCCCCACTTTTGCAGGATGGTCATTGTTCTGTTGTCCTGAATCCTGGCTGCCTGCATAAATTATGTGCTGCATAATCACCTACAAGCGTTCTATTTAAGCTCCTGGCAAGTGTCCTTTGAACTCCATACCCTTGGCTCCTTGTTTTTTGACCACTTTTTTCCAGCTGGTCGCTGATGTCCGATAAAGACCTTAAATCATTTACGTTTTCCTTGCCTTTTTCTTTGTTTTTCCACGATGTGGTTTTCATTTGCTTAATGCTTGCGTTGAGTTTTTATTTTATCGCGAGATTCAGATGCAGATTTATGTTTTTTAATTCCATTAGAGTGTGCTTTTCTGGGATAAAGATTAAAATAATCATCAGCGGAATAAGAAGGTGAGCTAAATAAGAAAAAGCTAATTTTAACAAATGTAATGTTTTAGAAAGTTAAGCCATCTGTAAAAAGGTTAAAAAATAAAGCGGCAATTTTCTCTTTTTAACAATGGATCGACGAATAAGATATTCCTGCATTTTCTTAATTCGGTAGATGGGTATTATGTATATATTTTATGCATTCAAATTGCAGATTCTACTTGAAATGTATTTAATGGAAAATCATTATCCTTTCTACAAATATATTTTATTTCCCCAGGAAATCAAAAAATAACCAGAGATAAAATAAGTTGGAAAACAACAAAAAAACTTTCTGAAGTACATTCCATATTTCTGTGACGTATAACTTTTGCTTATCAATTGCTTTCCCCACATAAATAAACCATCGATGTTTGTTCAATTGTAAGCGAAACTACAAAAGCAATTAACAGAGACACGAGGTTAATTGGCAGCCCCCAACCTTCACTCCCCAATTTCGGAGTCCCTCCTCCTCTGATTAATGTAATGGACCGCAATTTACGTCAACTTAATACTCATTTCTGAGCAAGAGTTTTTCGCCTGCTCCAAGGATATGTGTGTGTGAATGGGGAGTTGGGTAATTCGAATGGGTGGTCCAGTGAGGTTGATTTGCTGCTCCATTTCTCGCACCACTTGAAAACGCCTAGGTAAGATTTATGAGAGAGTGGGGGAGTGTAGTCATTGCTTGACTCAAAGGACCTCAAGTGTGCAACGCAATTTGGTGAAAGTATCAAATTTCTCCCACAAAACACTTTCACCACGGCATCGCCAGCTTCCTTTTGATTTTTTCCCTGCCACTGCGGTTACTGGACGTAGAAAAGTAAACAGAAGGTTAATGGATTTGACACACGGTTCCAAGGCATCTACGGCACTTGGGCGTGAAATGGATATGCTTTCAGGCTAGGCACACACGATAAGGTCTGAGGAGGTGGAACGAAATCGGGGAAAAAACATTGTTTTGCTTACTCGTTGTACGTAAGGATCCTTAAAGAAATGTGGTGGTCCAAAAAGTAGAAGTCTACAATTTAATGGCTTTAAGTTATCAGAAAAGTTGGCAGGAACTACATTTTGATCAAGAAAATCTGTTTTAAAAGGTAAACTTAATCGCTCTGTCCAAATCG